TTACAATGTACTTGCGTTACATTGTAAAATAATTAAACTCGCTGAATATCATTATTTAATTTCAATAATTTATCTTCTAAACGTAGAAGTAAACTCTGCCGCTTTAACATCGCTGTAGTGCAGGTGCACGTCATTTCGCGCCAGTTTGCTGCATAGTCGCTTCACTTTTCTGAAACAAGCAGACAAGAACATTACAGTAATATGTAAGCTATGTCCTGGGGAGAAAAAAACTATCGGCCGTTGTTAATAGCACGAGTAATCTACTGAAGCGCCTGACACGAGAGCATAGACGAACACTTCTGAGTGATCCTTGTTCATCATCCATGGATAACACCACGGCAACTCCTGCTAAGCAGGCAAAACTTGATTTTACTTCAGCAGCACAGAAAGCGTCTGAAGGTGAGCTTAAAAAATGATTGCAGGCTACATTGTGGAAGAGATGCTACTGCTGCGTACTGTAGAGTCTCCGTCTTTCAGAAAATGTATTTATTATTTAAAGAGTTTAATTTTTATTGTTTGTCCACTCAAGGTTTATAGGGATTTTAAAATGTATTTAGTTAAATTACTTATTGAGTAATTAAGTTACTTTTCTGACACAGTAATTAGATAAGTATTTTAAATACAATATTGATTAAGTAATTAGTAATTAATCACTTTTTTAAAGTAACTTACCCAACACTGCTACAATATGACAAAACAGACCATCCAACCTGAGTGTGCAATGATGTGCAAAGGCTTTAAGGTTTGAGTGCTGAGGTAATGAATCTCAGTGCTCCTGGATAAACAGAATCCACTGTTGCTAAGGCGCATGTATATAAATAAAATCGCTATTATCAGACAGACAGACAGAAGTTAGAGCAGCGAGGCTTTTTCTTGCCTCAAAAGAAATGCTAGATTAAAAAAGAAAAGAAAAGAAATTTAACCAAGAAAGTAGCATCTTTAGTTATTTATGTGGAGAAATTCCTGCTTTTTACTGTGACAGCAGTCCTCTTATCCTGAATTTGATGCAATATACAATAAAAATAGATATTGGTTTACACAGTCTGCAGTTTGTTTAGCAATCAAACATGCCATGCAGGATATGTGCGCTGAAAAAAACAAACTCTAAGAGCAAATTCAATTTATGTCCCACACAGATGGTTCTGCTCAGATAAAAAGGGTTGACAACTCTCCAGCCTCCCCAGTGTTACTGTTTGCCATTGTGATGATGTGTAGCAGATGCCGGTGTAGACTTAAATGGAACACTCTAGAAACCTTACTGTTAGAATTAAAAATTTAATGTGTTCATTACTATGTGTTTTTGTGTGTTTGTAAAATTGTAGTGATCATGAAGGAGGCAATGTCAGTGCTCACACTAGCCACCTAGTGGGGAGTGCCCTGTCTGACCCCTACCTGTCCTTCAGCGCTGCCATGAATGGTTTGGCCGGTCCTCTCCATGGCCTGGCCAATCAGGTTAGTAATGCACAGATTGTCATTTTCATTCTGTTTTCACACTGAGAGATCCCAGGTTAATCCCCCATTCATCTTTTTATAAAGAAAGCATTTTTATTAGGAACACTGCAGTGGATATTATGTGATAATGATTTTTATTTCAGTCAGTTTATTACAATTGTTCCAAAAACACTACATACAACACTTTAATTATTTGATTTTTACCAAAAAACTAAGAAATCTGATGAGGAAAAAAACTGAAAACAAGTTTAATGTGTAGTTTAATGGTTGGTTCATAATAATTTAATGCCTTTATAATGTCATAGATCTCTTCTGTAGCATATAGATGGGTTAGAGTTTATTTCGCCATACCTTCTTACTAATATTAAAGATGACCGAGTTCTGCTAATCAGCTTTACTTTCACAGGCCTGGTATTCTGAATACTAGCTTACTGTCACATTGTCACAACACTTGATTAAAACGGATCATTAAATTATTAGACACTTCTGTGTTTTTAATCACACATTAAAATCTCCACTGTGGTAGAAGCCTTTTTTTGAAACAACCTTGTCACCTTTGTGCCAACATGGCAACATAATCATTGAGGACTTGGCTGTTTTTAGTCAGTGCAGTAGACAAACACTAAAGGTTTCAGAGTTCAATAACGTTCACAAAGCACTGCTTGTATACCAGCGCCTGAGGAAAGGTCTCCCCTACTTTTATTAGCTAGCAATTTGTCAAAGCTGCTTCTACTTCCTCCAATAAATTTTGGCATCTGTTTAATTACTATCCATCCATTTTCTTAAGTGCTTATCCAATTATAGTGTCAGGGGGGGCTGGAGCCTATCCCTGCTTCATTTATTTATTAGCTACTTAACTAGTTAAATACAGTCATATGATATGACCAACTATTATGAGCAGTTGTACAATAACCTATGATTTTAGATTAAAATGTTCATAATGATTTTTTTCTTTCAGTTTGCGCTTTGCTCACATATTTGACATATTGACACTTAAAATGAGTTTTGGTTTGATTTCAAACACAGTGCCAACAAAAATACCGCAGAAAATTCACTTAGCTTATGAATGTGTGTTTTGTCTTGTTTTGTGGGTTTTTGCTGCACCTACAGGAGGTACTGGTGTGGCTGACTGCTCTGCAGAAGGAGTTGGGAGGAGAGGTGTCTGATGAGAGGATGAGGGATTATATCTGGAACACACTCAAGTCTGGAAGGGTAAATAAGCACCACATCTGCAAACAAACAACTCTAGTTATTATTATGACTTCATTTTCCACTCTCACTCATTTTCAGAATAACACTTCTGGGGATGTCAGGGGTCCAGTTGTTTCTACCAGAAGTTACAGCTAGATTTAGGAACCTTTGGAGGAACTCAAATCAGATTCTTTGTTAAAAGAAAAAAAATTAACACTTTAAAAATTCCCTGGTGGGCTTTTGTCTAAAAGAGTAGAAACTTTGGGCATGAGGCTTTCTGCATTGAACATTTCTAATTGGTTCTAATCTCCCTAATCTCCCTAATCTGTTAGAACCCCATTGTCAAAGCAGTAACTCGAAAGCAACATCAACACAAGTGGCTTATTGTTGCAGCAGTGTTGTCACTTTATATGGCATCATTGTTTTTTGTATAGTCTTCCTTCACCTACAGGACTAAGAGGAGTAGTTGATTTAATGTTGGCACAAATAAAGTTGTGTAATTACAACAGTTTTTTTTGTTTCCAAAACCAAGAAATTGCTATTATTACAATTTTTATAATTTACTATATTTTACATCTGATTTACTCTGACCTTCATCTAAACCTTCATATTCTAGTTTATTGATTTACTGAATAACTAAATTCTGTTTTTGTCTTTCATAATAGGTTAAAATTGTTAATGTATACCATAAAGAATTTGTAAAATAATAGTATTTTAGCACAGATAGAATGGTGTTGATGTCACCTAACAGCAAGTTGTTTTACATGTAAGTTCTGCACCTGGTTGGTTTCTTCTGGTTTTGTTCCCCAAAACATGCATGCTAGGGTAATTAGTGATTGTAAATTGACCTTATGGGTGTGTTTAAGTTCTTAATGCGTTTCTGAAGGTCTCGTGAGTACTTAGAGTTGTCAGAGAGACTAGAAGAGTGCGCTGTCAGGTTAAAAATGTTGGTTTCTTGGCTGTAGGTGGTTCCAGGTTATGGCCATGCTGTCCTAAGGAAGACTGATCCACGTTATACCTGCCAGCGCGAGTTTGCCCTGAAGCATCTGCCCAGTGACCCCATGTTCAAGATGGTTGCCCAGCTTTACAAGATTGTACCCAATGTGCTCCTGGAGCAGGGTAAGGCCAAGAACCCCTGGCCCAATGTAGATGCTCACAGTGGAGTGCTGCTGCAGGTAAGACCTGGGATTATAATTATGCATTTGTTATCTAACTGAAATAATCACAGATGCTGAAGTAACTGACTGCTTCCCTGTTTGTGTGTATGTTCAGTACTATGGAATGAGTGAAATGAACTACTACACTGTGCTCTTCGGTGTGTCCCGTGCCCTCGGCGTGCTGGCCCAGCTGGTGTGGAGTAGAGCCCTGGGCTTCCCCCTGGAGCGCCCCAAGTCCATGAGCACAGATGGACTGATGTCTTTGGTTGGAGCAAAGTCAGGCTGAAGCACCAACCTGAAAGTAGCTGTGGGTTAGTGTTAAGGGTGGGAGGAGGTGGAAACATCAAAAAGCAGACATAAGTTGACCCCTTGTCATTTCCAACCCCAGGGATTTAATAGGATTCAAAGAGACAGTATTCTTTCAATGCCATTTCACAAAAAAAAGGGCCTTTTTAAATTGTCATAGCATTAGTCTTCAAGTGTGTTTAGTTAATCACTGACAGGCTTTCCAATCATGTCTCTCTATCTAAAACATGAGCAGAACAAACTTTATATATGGCCACGGTAGGCTCAAACTACCTACCACTTTTAGGTCTGCTAGCATTGCTAAGATTTCCCCTGAGCGGTGCTTCTCATTGGACACTGGGTCTAAACTAAGAATAGGTAGTGGCATTCAAAGGGAATTGTGGGAGTGAACTGCACTTCCTTTGTATGTAAGCTTCTACATTTAAAAATCTGACTAAATCTTTTTGGCCAATACAGTGACGTGTTGTAGAGGATACTTCCAAGCAAAATGCAGTTTGTCACACAGCTCTAATTTTAGTTTTTCGTCTATGCAACGTTGTCATCCCACCCAGTTGATCAATGCGTTTCACTCCCACTTATGAACACTCCAGTGTAACAAAGAAAAAAAAAAAAAAAAAAAGGTCCTCACTAGTAAAAATCCTAGAAAGCCGTTTAAGAAAAAATATTCGTTTAAAGACACTGCCCCTTTAAATCTCTGGTCTCCCCCTTTTTTTTCTTCTCTAACTTGTAGTTTTTTCTAGATGACCTGTAATACCTCTATGATCAAAATAACAGTCTTTATTAAAATTTGATTCCTTGGTCTTATTTTCCTCAAAGTAATTTCCTATTTTTTTAATGGGTTTCTTATATAAGAATGCCTGAGAATCAGGACTAATGAAGGTAACTGATACAGATTTGAGCAAAGGGTGTTGTAACTGGCAACCTGCAGGGAATCCTTAAGAGCAAGCTTGAATAAAAACAGGATGGGAGGGGGGGCTTTGTAGAGTTTTGTTTTGTTTTTAAGTCTTCTTTTATTTGACTGTATGTTCATTTCTTTATCCCAGCAGCAGAGCACTTCAAATGACAATTATAAAGTTATGAAGTATTTGATTGGATTTCCTAAATTGTAACAGTAGAAAATCTCCCCCTTTTTTTCTTTCTTTTGGTGTTGAATGATGTATGAAAATATATTTGGGTTTGAATTTTGTTGTGGTTTTATTTATACTCTGTGTACATAGGTATATATATGTATAGCATTAATGTATGAGCTGTAAGCATTCACTTGCTGCTTATAACCACAATGAGCACCACAGTTTACCAGCAGAGTAGTCGTGTCCACTATATGTCCAGTCTCGCTGGTCACTGTGAATATCTGACAATGAACAAAAAAAAAAACTGCAGCTATCTTCTGTATATACAGTTTATTCCCAAGCTCTGTTTCCTCAGCTGGTGCTGTATTTCAGGTATTTCACTTGAATGTGTCAAGCTTGCTCTTAAGTTCTGGGTTTCTCAACACTCCATTTTTGTCTAGTTAGAGTTCTTGCGTATTTCCTCCTAAGAATACTCTTTAACGTGTTCGTTCCGATACTTGATTCTCTCTGCTCTGCTCTTCTGGCTTTTTCGGGCACGTGTTTTGTGTTTTATTGTAGCGTTCTTCCATGTGGCAGGTTGTTCAACAGATGTGGTTATTTTGATCGTAGAGGAGCTTATGGGTTGTAACTGGGAGGAATCATTAGAGAAACACTTGGGGCGGGGGGACAGGGCTGGGTGGGTCAAATGGGCAAGAAAAGCTTGAAACAACTATTGGAAAACCTTAGAAAAAAAAAAAGAAAAATAAAGGTTTTTATTAACACTTGTTTGGTCTCATTTTCTTCATAAGTGCTTGAAAAAGAAATTGTGATGTAATTCCAGTTCCAGTTGCATGTAAGTTTGTGAAACCTTTGAAATTACCAGGATTTCTGAAGTGATTACCCAAACGTACCCTCCTTGTAATACACAAACACTGTAAGGAGAAAAACCTCAGGAAAGCAAAGAATCACGGGCCCAGAGTTAATTCATGTACATGGGCGAATCCTATGCAGGAATGCGCCCAGGCATCTGGTCAGACTTTATTATATACTGCTTACTCATGTAACACTCATGGGTGGAGTACAAGTTAGGAAAAAACAACTTCTTATCTGGTGCTTGCATACGAGGCTGCACAGGATGCAGCCTTGCAAGACGAAGATGGACAAGTTGATTAACGATCTTGTAGTGGGTTAAAACAATACATGTGGGTGTTTGTCTAAACTTGAGCAACTTCCTCATGTGATCACTTTGTTCCAGCTAAAGAATTTGCTGACACGCTATGTACAGGCATTACTGTGCAATTTAAATAAGCTAAACATGAAAGGTAATAAGGTAAAATCTTTTGACAAACACAGTCTCACAAAACGCTGTCTTTTAGCCATTGCTAACAGTTGTTAAGCTTTCACGATTAAAAAGGACTGAAATAATAGTTAACAATCATTATTAATGGCTGTGGAAAAAAATATTTTAACAATTATTAAATTATTTAACAATTAAATTTGCACTTGTTGGATACCGTATTATACACTTACTGGATACTGTTAGTTACACCCTGCTAGTACCAGATTAGACTCTTGCTTTCATTACTGCCTTATTTCATCATGGCATTTAGCAAGATAGTGGAAAAAATCTTTTGTCCATATTTACATGATAGCATCACACAGTTGCTTCTGATCTGTTGGCTGTACATCTATGATGTGAATGTCTTTGATGTTTAAACGATACTCAGTTGGTACAGTTGGAATCTAAACTGGGCCAAGGAAAATATCCCTCACAAGGTTCCAGCAACAGCCTGAACAGTTGATACAAGCCAGGGTGGAAGCATGCTTTCAGGCTGTTGCTCAGAATGCTCAGACCTCTACATCGGAGAGACCAAACAGACACCTCATAAAAGCATGGCACAACACAGAAGAGCCACCTCCACAGGACATCTGCATCTAAAGGAGGATGCCAGTGTTCACATTTTGGACAGAGCAGAAGGATGGTGTGAAAGAATCCATCTATGTCAACTGTGAACGGCCATCTTTGAACAGAGGCGGTGGTTCACGACACCAACTGTCTGCCATCTGCAATACAGTTTTGAGATCCTTTCCCAGACGCCTTAACGCCCACTCACATCCTGGGCTATTTGACCTCAATAAATCACATGATAGGGTGGGGATGGGTTTCACAATGGATTCACCTGAAACCTTGGCTGACTGTGAGACACACCCGTTTTCAGACCTTGGCTCATGTGATTAGGTAAAACATCAATAGAGAGTCCATGACCCTCTTGCGGACACTCCCATAGGGCTTAAAATCTGGGATTCTCCACCAATTGCGCTTAGAACTGAAGAAGCTTCTCAGATAAGAGGTGAAACATCTTAAAGACAAAACTTAAAGAAAAGAAGTCTAGATGCTTTTGTTTCCAAGCTCCTTAGATATTTGACACATGCATTCAAAGCTGCTCTTCTGCATACCTTGGATGTAACTGGTGGTAATTTTACTTACCGTTCAGCTCAAAGAGTCAGGCCATTCCATCTCTGACTTCAACAAGGAATTTTTTCAAGGTCTCTCTCTTTCAGGCTATCCTCTGTAAACCCTACAGATGGTTGTGTGGGGAAAATCCTGTAGATCCGCATCTTCTGAAATACAACAGCCTATCTAGCACAAACAACTATACCACATCAAAGTCATGTAAATCACTGTTGTTCCCCATTCAGATGCTTGACTGGAACATCACAAGTTCATCTTGACCATGCCATGCATGCCTAAATGAATTGAGTTGTTGCCATGCGATTGGCTGATTAGATATTTGCATTAAAGAGCAGTTGAACAAGTGTACCTAACATTCAGGAGCAAATGTAATAAACAGTGAATATAACAGGACCAAAACTGCATTCTCCAGCTTCACAGTCTGGTGATTTACACCCTTACCTACCTACTTATTATCTATTTAAACAAGTATTAGACTTTACACTTGCATCCAAATAATGTTTGATAATGCTTTACACAGTACATATTACCAGTTTACTAAGATGTATAAACATAATTTGCATTTTTATAATAACCAGATAATGATCTTCAAACCAATGTATTCATTAGTAAACCTTATGTCCATTTGTTAACAGCAGTTAATTTCCCTTATTGTGGACTTTGTGTGTCACTGTAATGCTCCTGATTCAAAGACCATTCACACTGAGCAATCTTTACTGAGAACATCACTTCTTGTCAGTTCACACACTTTGAATGCCTTTATTTATAGGAAGGGCACCTCTTCAACTCACACTTCCAAAATGAGATCCTTAGCTGGAACACTTGACCTCAATAAATACCTTTTGGAGAAGCTGTTCCACAGAGGTTTACCTTTTTCCATCCCGCACTGTGTGGTTATTCAGTATGGACCATAAAATATGAAAAGCATCAATGTTTAAAGATCTTGAACTTGTCAGCTGTTGTGACTTTAGATAAAAAAATATATTTTATGAGTGATTAGTGCTACTTGATAACTTCAAAGGCATTACAGACTTTTTTTTTCTTGCAATCGTGTGTGGCATTTCAAAATGATTTATGACAGTGACAGGGTTCAAGTGAGGTCAGTTAGGTAAATTCTTGTCATGTTTGTAACATGAGGATGATGGCACAACGTAAAAAAAATGTATTTACACTGTAAACTTTGAGTAATTTTCTCTTTCCGATGAGACATACAGCTCTAGGCAAGAGTGTAAAGGAGTGTTTGAATTCAAAAACCAGATACAAAACCTGCTCATTTAAGAATATCATGATCATCAATGATTCCTGTTGTAATGCTCCAATTTTAATTAGTCTTTATTCCATACTGTGATCATGAGAAGACGGTCCAAATGCCCACCTCTCCTATGTGCTGTTATTAATAACTGGCCCAAATACCATCACCCCACTCTGGTTTCTTGCTGGTCAGCTGAGCTGTGCCACTCTTTCCACTCCACTTGTGCAACAAAAGCAAGCAGTGCTAAGGGACATCAACTCAATGCCATCCTCTGGAACACAAGCTCAGTCTAAAAACGGTACCTGGTGTCATCTAAATGCATTATAACGCAGCTGCTGCAAGTGAAGGACACAATGCTCAAGCACTAATGCAGGTATACCTTCAGGAGTCGGTTTTGTTTTTGTTTTATCAATCACCTTTTAAAAAAAGCGCATACGCAAAATGTGACAGCTCCTTTTTATTTAAATACAAATTTAAAATACACTGATATTTACATAGATACATTTTCTGCTTGCAAAAAAAAAAAGCAACTGAAATCCAAAACAGTGAAAATAATTTTGATTGAAGCAACAAGTGACTGATATTTATTTATATCTCCTTTTATACATACAAGGCTGCCTGTATTAAGACCAGTGGTCATTAATACACCTGCAGCATGAATATTGATGTGGAAATGTACAGAGGGGTCGAAGGGTTACAATAATTTCAAGTGAACCCTTTATGCTCATCTGGACTGTACTAGAGTAGCTTTTGCATGAGTCACAGTTCATTTATCAGTTTATCTTATACTACAGCTTGGTGCAGCCCCTCAGTTCATCCACTGTCTGAAATAACCTGTTTTAGTTCCTCCACCTTTCTGATTGGGCAGCCTTTACAAACAGGAGGTTAGAACAGCAGGTGGGCGGGGCTTCTGAGCTCATAACCCAAGCAGTGTGCCTGAGATAACCACTGTCACTGACATCATATAGTGCAGACAGTAGAAAAACTTGCCTGGAACCTGAGCGTTTGGCTCACAGGCATTACTTGTGCATACGCTGACCTCATTATGTTCAATTTTTGGCATATTTAATACGAGCATTCACTATTATAAGAATCTATATGTATATGTCAGAAAATCAAGAAAAGCATAATAGGCTAATTCGGAAAATATTTCTGTTTACACTGCCCCTTCTTTTCCAACAAGGATTGGCACTTACAATGAAAAACAAACTCTCTCTGTAATACACTTAAAGACAAAAAAAACCTTGAGAGTAAAGATGAATTCTAATGTGATGCAACGTTAAAAACACAACACAAAATTTTCATTAACATTATTTATAATTATGTTAGTCCACTTTGAGTCTGGCAATGGTAGGACCATCTTAAATAAAACTACACAGTTAATGCAATACTTTTGTTAAACTGCTCAAAGAAAAAAAAAGACGCTGGAACTACACTTCAATCATATCTTGATTGCTTCTTTTCAAATTTTGATAGTACACAAAGGCCAAATTGCAACATAATACACAAAAGTGGTATTCAATGATTTTACCTCAAACCATTTTTAAATGTATTTTTTTTTTTTTTTTTTAAATAGTAACAGTGATTCTCAGACTGAATACGCCTGTATTGGGTTTTGATGACTCATTTTTCTTAATTCCCAAATCACCTTACTAACCAAAAATAAAACAACATACTTCAGTTTCACAAAAATACGAAAACACCTTTTAGCTTTACTGGACCATTTGGACAAAATGAAACATTTTTCACAGAGAAGGTCACACTAAATTACTTCTTTAGCAACTTACGAGTCACCTTTAAAATGTAGCAAAATACAATCAGTTACCTTTAATAGCCCTTTATCACAGAATACTGTGAAGGGGCTGCTTGATTTTAAATTTAAGTCAAGTCCTGACAATGCAACGCATAAATGCTACAAATATATTTGCCTTTGTTACTTATATCCATGCATCAAAATGTGTGTAAAGATAAGCCAAAATGTCAACAAATAAGCATGAAACTCATTGATAAATAAGTAATGTTTTATTCTACAGCCCACCGCTACAATTTATAGAAAGATG